GAGAGAGGGGGGGGAGAGAGAGAGAGAGAGAGAGAGATGCGGCGGCGGGGGATTGGGAAACCTAAGAAGCTCCTCCGCGGAAAAAAGGGAGATGGATAGGACGGGCAGGGTAGGAGTGTCGTCGAGGCCGAACTGCTCACGCCGCCGCTGCGGCCTCGCCTTGCCCCGCCCCGCATCGCCCCGGCCCTCATCGTCTCGCGGCGTCGCCTCATCGAAAGACGAGTCGGCGGGTAGCGCTGAATCGCGAGTAAGGGAAGGGGGAGTTATGACGGGTTTGACTACGACCTTACCACACGCTTACGACCGCTGTGGGTGCTAGGGACCCAGACCGGACCCAACCAACGACCACGAGCGCGCGACCTTGGCCACGGTCTCGTCCCTGCCAATGTACACTCCCCCCCCCCCTCTCACCTCACACGGGGTCACGGCCTCTCCTGGGCGGGAGTGCAGACGCGCGCGCGCCGTGTGGCCGGGGGCCGCGATCCGCGCCGCGCAAGCGAGACTGCGGAGGCGATTTATATTCCGCGGGGAGGAGAAGCAAGAGGGCCCCGCCGCGCAGCCCTGGGATAGGCCGAGCCCGAGCAGACACGGCGGGAGAGGGAGAGCGAGTGAGTGCGTTTTCAATATTTCACACGACTGCAGCAGAGCCCGGGCCAACCTTTTATTGCGGTGCCGCTCCGCGTTTGTGTGGAGCGCGCGTGAACTCCCTCTCTTTCGGCATGAAAACTCTTTATCTTTCTCAAAAGAAAATAAAAAATAAAACTTCAAAAAAATTACAAAAAAAATATTCAAAATTCCAGAAGAAAATAACAAAAATTAATTATCAACTGGCACTTCTCTTCGCAGGGTATTGATAAAGCTCCTCTGTTGTGCAGTTCCGCGCCTCATGGAAGCGCCTGTGGGCGCCGCACTCGAGCGACACGTCCCTGGAGGCGGGCGCTGAGCCGTCCGTGCCGGGCGAGCTGGTGTGCACGCAGCAGACGTCGGCCGGCGGCGGCAACTCGCCCGTGGTGGCCGTGCGCAGGCCCAACACGCCGCCGCCCTCGTACCGGCGCCAGCGCAAGATGGAGCGCCTGCTGCAGGTGCGGCAGCAGGAGCAGCAGCTGCTGGGCCCCAACCACCTCAGCAGCAGCAGCAACGGCAGCAGCAGCAACGGCTGCCGCGCGCTGCGAGCCGTGTACCGCAGCGCGCCCAACTCGGAGACGGCCCCCTTCGTGCCGCCCGCGCCCGCGGCGGACGACACGCGGCCGCGCTCCGCGCCGCCCAGCACGGCGCAGCCCGACTCGGACGACTCGGACGACCAGAGGTCGCCGTTCAGGCGCGTCCCCAAGCGCGACAAGGTGCGTGCACGACACACCCGGGGTACACGTCACGCAGGGTGTTAGCACGTTCAGTGTGGCGTGACCACGATGTGGTCTCGCTCCTATGTCACATCGTGGGCCGCACTCAAAATGCTGAAATCACGAATTACTCGTAAACAAGGACGCATTATAACAAAAATCGGTTTTCGAAAAAAGTTTTACAGATTTAAGTTACCAAGACTTACAATTTTTTGCAGTTGAAACCAACTGTAAAACTATTAGTTTCTGCAGACAAAATTGGCATCTCGTGTAAATTTGTCGTTTATAGCGACCCTTGTTTGCAACATAGTATACTTAACTTGAAATCCAGCATCTCAACACCTCCGTTCTGCGTATTTAAGTAAGAGGGGGAGGGGCGGGTTGCGAGAGAGCTGCGTGGCGACCGGATGTCCGGAGCAGGCCTGGGCCGGAGCAGGCCTGGGAGCCGGAAGCAGCGCACCGAGCGGCAGCAGAGTGATGCCCCGAGCTATGGCGTTTATATTAAGTTAAGGCGCCGCGGAGTTTAAGTCTCACCTAGCGGGGCGCGGCGGCGGCGCGGGCGCGCGGGCGCAGCAGCGCAGCCAAGGCGACAGCTGATGTTGATGAATAAGTGATGAAAGTCGGCGCGCCCGGGCCGCGCGCGATGTCGCTTGTGAGCTGAATAAGTTTCGGCCGAGCTGAGTGGAAGGGGTGACCACCACCCCAACCCCGCCCGCCACTCCCTCTTTTTACTTGTGCCCGTCGAGAAATTATAACAAGCAGAGTCTTTAAAGCCCCCGGCCGCGGGCCGCGCAGCGCATAGTCTTTGGGCGGCCAGCAGAAACTGGGCGCCAAGATAACACGCTTTACGTCGTTTGGGAAGTAAGGAAGTGGCATGCTTGCGGTCGATATGGAAAGTTTGCTGCAGTGTAGTACAACAAAGGGAAGGATACTCGTCGTAATGCGCTCTCCAGCGACCCGACGGCGCACATAATTGAGAGTGGGCGGGCTGTTGGACGCCGCTCACTACTTGCACTTGTAGAGGAGGCGTTAAGACAGTACTAGGAGGAGGTAAGGATGTTAATTTTCCAGTAAAACGTTTCTGGGAATTTTTCAAAGATCTCTTTTGTTTTGTTTTTTAAACATTCGGACTGTAAGATTCAAAATCCTTAGGAGCTGTACAAATATTTTGGCCTCACTATTAGGTTAATACCCCTGAGAGGGTAATCACTCCGTGAAAATGCGTACACCTCAACTTCTCACTTTTCCACTTTTATTCACTTTTTCACCGTTTTACAACGTTTACTTCATTTCTATGCCTACAGTAATGTCCCTCTCGAAGCTGGCAAATCGGGACCGGATTTCAGCTTCGAGAGGACGACCTGAAAGTTAGCCACATGTTGCGAACGTATTGTATTGGCGCGGACTCGGGCATCAGGCGGTTTTAAATGCTTTGTCGCCCGAGCTCGCGCGAGCTCGCCAGGTTGTAAACCCCCATCCTTAAGCGGGGTCCGTATCAAAATTTCAGCTTCGAGCGAGCCAGCTTCGAGAGGGACATTACTGTATATCCCCTCACTGTAAATTGCTTACGAACTATAGGTTCGTAATGCAAACCAAAACGTTCGTAGCTTACGAAGGATTTTGAAGCGTTGTATTACGAACAAATAGTTCGTAATGCAAACCGATTGTTTGTAAGACCCGTCTAGCCTTACAAACAATCGCTTTGCAATACGAACAATTTCTTTGCAATACAAAGAACGAAAATTGTTCGTAACGTTGCAAAGTATTTAGTTCGTTAGCTTTTTACAGTGCTCTATTTTATTCATTTTTGATCTGATCAACGCACGATAAGTTACTTTTGTCCACATTTTCTTTCAGTTTTCATCACTTTCAGTCAACTTTTTGTAACTTTCACTTTAACTTTTATAGAAATGTGTACACCTACTCTCTGTAGTGCACTGTAAAAATCTTACGAACAAAATACTTTGCAACGTTACGAACAATTTTCGTTCTTTGTGTTGCAAAGAAATTGTTCGTATTGCAAAGCGATTATTGTTTGTAAGGCTAGACAGGGTCTTGCGAACAATCGGTTTGCATTACGAACTATTTGTTCGTAAGCTTACGAACAATTAGTTCGTAATACAACGTTTCAAAATCCTTCGTAAGCTACGAAAGTTTTGGTTTGCATTACGAACCTATTGTTCGTAAGCAATTTACAGTGTGATTACCCCCTCGACCCTGGGTAAAAATATAATGGCGTCTCTATAAACACCAATGGTATATCCTGAACCTATTGGAAAGCCTGTGATGGTTGTATTCCAGGGTACCCCATGGGGTCCCAATGAACTGCTATGGTCCTGGACCCAATGAAGCGGGCGTAATATTTGTACCCCTCGGCTGAGAATAAACGCGGGGTCTCTACTTTGAACTCGGGCAGTGTTTATGAACTTAATGCTGAAC